GAGGAGCAGGAGCAGGAGCAGGAGCAGGAGCAGGAGCAGGAGGAGGGGGGAGGGGGGAGGGGGAGGAGGAGGGGGGCGGAGGAGGAGGAGGAGGAGGAGGAGGAGGAGGAGGAGGAGGAGGAGGAGGAGGAGGAGGCCCAATCAACCCACGACGCTGCCCCCGAGCCTGCGTGGACAATGTCTCGCCCTTCGGCCCCACGCGCGGCCAGTGGCCCATGAAGAAGTTCAAGGTCTCTATGACCGCCTTCTGCGTCTTCACTGCGCCCTTCGCGGTGACCTGCGACCCGGGGCGGCGCTCCAGGACGGCGGCCTCCTCTCGGAGAGGACGGAAACGGATCACTTGGAGATCCACGCGGACTCCTTGGACCTGCGCTGGACCCCCCCCTGCCTGGAAAACGGGGCGCGCCAGGGTCGTCGCCAGAGGCGCCGCCAGGGTGGTCCAGCGCCGACCAATGGAATCCGCACGGGCCCCCGACAATTCTGGAGCGGCCGTTATTGTTACTGATTCCGGGGGCCTTCCTGGCGCCACTCGCTCCACTCGTGCGTCGATGATGCGTCGGGCGCCCGTCGACTTGATTCGAACTTGAGTGGAGCTGGAGTGGAGCTGGAGTCGAGCTGGAGTCGAACTGCAGCCCAAGTTGAGTCGAACAGCTTCATCAGGTAGACCCAGGGAAGATCTCTTCTCGACCAGAGGCCTCCTAGATGGGGTCCGAGTAGAGGAGGTCGGAGGATCGCGCCGCATCACTGATGCGTCGCCGATGCACTTGCGATGCCACCGACATCGGCGTGGCTAACCACGGGCTCCACCTCGAGCCGCGTCGCCGATACATCGGCGCTACGGCGCGATCCTCCGACAGCATCTGCTCGAGCCCCATCTGGAAGACTCGAAGGTGAGGCCCCCCAGACAAACATTGAATTCCCCGATCCTTGGCCAGGTCCACGCGGGCGAGCTCCGGGAAGAGGTTCCACGGCGTGACCTCGGCGGCGAGCCCGGGGGGAAAGTGAGAAGAAGAAGGCCTTCTCGGAAGGTTCGAAGTGCCCTGACCTTTCGAGAAGTTGCCTAAGCCTTCCCCAATAACACACATACTTTCTCAGAAGGCGCGAGGGCTTCCTCGGCGAGGCGCAGCCGCTGGCAGGCGCCCCGAGGCTGGAACACCGCTAAGAGCCGACGAACACGCCTCCAAAGCCTCGAACCTCGAGCCCCCAGACATGCGACGTCTTGTTTTCTTCAGGACGGCGTCCGTGGAAGTCGCGATTCTTCCCTGGGGCCAGTTTTTCGTCCAGAGTCGTTGTTTGACGGTCCGGAGGCCTTGCGAGGGCCTCCCGAGGCCAAACATAAGCAAAAACCGTCCGTCCTGACTTGTTTTACGACGCGATCATATCTGGGCCCGAAACTCCTTCTCGCTTCCCCCCTCGCTCGCCACCGAAGACCCCGTCCACCACCATGGGCATCCTCTGCCGGCGCGCCAGCTCGGGCCGCTCCGCGAGCAGCCGCGCACAGAAGGGGCCCTCCCGCACGGAGTCGCAGGGCGGCGCCCGGCTGCGCTGGGAGGCCTCGTGCACGACGTCTGACTCGTCGCAGACGACGTGGCTCCTGACCCACAACGGGATCCACCCATGATCGAGCCGCTCTGGTCATGGTGCTGATAAGATCTGGGATTTACAAAACGGCCACGGCTTCAAAACATCCGTGCTTGAATTTAGTAAACCGGTTTTTGCGTTTACCAAATGATGCGTTGTCTTGTTTTGACTAGGAGGCGCAATTTACCAAATCCGTGTCTCGCCTTAGTAATTAATCGGTTCCTCAATAATGTATTAAAACAATGCGCGATCCCTCATTTCCATGACGTATGTTAACTGGTGAACCAAAAGGAGGTCACACTGAGAGGTTGGCATGACATCGATCCGTTGGTGCACCGAACTGCCGCCAACAGATGACCCCCGCATTCCCACCTATGGGCAACTATCGGGAGTTGCCGGCGGCTAGGAGGGCCTCTGTTTAGGGCGGATCGGTGCAAAAGCCGATCGAACTCTCACACACACACACACACCAGGGCACACCCCTTTGGGGAGAAGATGAGGAGGATAAATCCAGGTGAGGATGAAATCCGAGGAGGAGGCGGCCAAATTCGGACAAGGATGAAATTCGGGTAAGAATAAAATTAAGGTGAGGATGAATGCGGTCCAAAACGAAGCCGGCAGAAAGACAAAATCGGGAAAGATAAAATTGAAATTCTTTGAGATCCAACAACACTGGAAGATGTCTCGGGCGCCGCGGCCTTCTCAGAGCGTTCCGGAACGCTCTCAGAGGATTCATCCTCGTCCTAGAATCGTCTGGATATCCAAAATACGGCCAACCTTCGGACACAATCACATCCTTCAAGAACCTGAGACCCTCCGCCGGGAAAGAAGAACCATCCTTCAAGGCATCCTCCCCCCAGGATGCGCAAGAAAATCCAAGAAACATGAAGCACATGAGGGTACCCTCCCCGAACCGACCTCGATCTTACACCTCGGTCCGACCGCATTGAATTTAATACGCAAATGTTTGGTTGTATTCGGCTTCCCGGGGCCCTCTGTAACACCGTCTGCGGACTGGACGGTTTAAGACTCCTCTCCTCCCCTGTATGACTCTTCAAGTTCACTGCTATACCTATCATGTGGCACCGATCTTTACAAACATATATATATATATATACATATATGTATGTGAGAAGCCAGCACCGAAGAAAAGGGCCCAGACCTTAATGTCGTCGTTGCTGCGAAGACATCACGACGTCGGAGTTTTCGTGGATGCAGACGAAGATGGGCAACAAACGGGAACGCGGAGGAAAACAAAACCAACACAGAAAATATTGTTTATCTCGAGCCATGCTAGGGACACCTCGGGTCGGGGACATAGGGCGACAAGATCTGTACAGATTCACTGCCCCAGGCCTGGCCCATCCTAGGCCCTGGAGCGGTGCATATGTCTCCCTGGCCAAGCCCGGAGGGCGTGTACGCCGCTCCTGGGACCAGGGCGGGCCAGGCCTGGTGCAGCGCGTCTGTATACATCTCGCCGAACTGGATCAGAATCCTCTGGCAAAACGCGATTCGAGAATGTGTGTGTGTGTGCGTGCGTGCGTGTGCGGGTGCGGGTGCGCACGCGCTTGCGTGGTGGGTGGTGCGCGTGTGCGTGTGCGCTTGCGCGTGCGCCTGCGCGTGCGTGTGCGAGTTCGTGTGCTTGTGTGTCTGTATGTGTGCATGTGTTCGTCTGTGTGTGTGTGTATCTTCGGGTACGTGTGTTCGTGTGCGTGTGTTCGTGTGTTCGTGTGCGTGCTCGTGCGTGTGCGTGTGCGTGTGTTCGTGTGTGTGTGTGGTCGTGTGTGTGTGCGTGCATGTGTGTGCGTGTGCGTGTGCGTGTGCGTGTGCGTATGCATGTGCGTGTGCGTGTGTGTGTGTGTGTGTGTGCCGTGTGCATGTGTGCGTGTGCGTGTGCGTGTGCGTGTGCGTGTGCATGTGTGAGTGAGCGTGTGCGTGTGCGTGTGCGTGTGTGTGTGTGTGTGCCGTATGTATGTGTGGAAGTGCGTGTGCGTGTGCGTGTATGTGTGTGTGTGTGCGTGCGTGCGTGTGCCGTGTGCATGTGTGAGTGTGCGTGTGCGCGTGCGCGTGCGCGTGCGCGTGTGCGTGTGCGTGTGCGTGTTTGTGTGCGTGTGCGTGTGCGTGTGTGTGTGTGTGTGTGTGTGCGTGTGCGTGTGCGTGTGCGAATGCGTGTGCGGTGTGGGGTGTGGTGTGTGCGGTGTGCACTGTGCGGTGTGCGGTGTGCGGTGTGCGGTGTGCTGTGTGTGCGGTGTGTGCGGCATGTGCGGTGTGTGCGGTGTGTGCGGTGTGTGCGGTGTGTGCGGTGTGTGCGGTGTGTGCGGTGTGTGCGGTGTGCGCGGTGTGTGCGGTGTGTGCGGTGTGTGAGTTGTGCGCGGTGTGTGCGGTGTGCGCGGTGTGCGCGGTGTGCGCGGTGTGCGCGGTGTGTGCTGTGTGTGTGCTGTGTGTGTGCTGTGTGTGTGCTGTGTGTGTGCTGTGTGTGTGCTGTGTGTGTGCGGTGTGTGCGGTGTGTGTGTGTGTGTGTGTGGTGTGTGCGGTGTGTGCGGTGTGTGCGGTTTGCGCGGTGTGCGGTGTGCGGTGTGGTGTGTGCGGTGTGCGTGTGCGTGTGCGGTGTGCGGTGTGCGGTGAGCGGTGTTAGGGGGAAAACAAACCTACCTCGTTTTTGACCACCCTCGCTTCCAAGAGATACCAAACGACGCCAAATTGCAGCCTGTACTGGTCAGGCCGCTTGACGAGGAGGCGCGTGGTATGGCTTGGTTTTGCCTGGAAGCGAAAGCGGGGTAGGTCATTCACGCTCTGAGGTGTGCGTGTGCGTATGCGTGTGCGTGTGCATGTGTGTAGACGTGCGCGTGTGCGGTAGGCGTGTGCATGTGCGGTGTGCCGTGTGCCGTGTGCCGTATGCCGTATGCCATGTGCCATGTGCCGTGCGCCATGTGCCGTGTGCCGTGTGCCGTGTGCCGTGTTCGGTGTGCTGTGTGCGGTGCCGGTGTTCGGTGGGCGGTGTGCGGTGTGGCGTGTGCGGGTGTGCGGGTGTGCGGGTGTGTGGGTGTGCGGGTGTGCGGGTGTGCGGTGTGCGAGGTGCGGTGTGCGGTGTGACGCATGCGTGTGCGGTGTGAAATGTGCGGTGTACGGTGTGCGGTGTGCCGTGTGCCGTGTGCGGTGACATGTGCAGTATGCCGTTTGCCGTTTGCCGTGTGCAATGTGCCATGTGCCGTGTGCCGTGTGCCGTGTGCCGTGTGCGGTGTGCCGTGTGCCGTGTGTGTGTGTGTGTGCCGTGTGCGGTGTGCGGTGTGCGGTGTGCGGGTGTGCGGGTGTGCGGGTGTGCGGGTGTGCGGGTGTGCGGGTGTGCGGGTGTGCGGGTGTGCGGGTGTGCGGGTGTGCGGGTGTGCGGGTGTGCGGGTGTGCGGGTGTGCGGGTGTGCGGGTGTGCGGGTGTGCGGGTGTGCGGGTGTGAGGGTGTGCGGGTGTGCGGGTGTGCGGGTGTGCGGGTGTGCGGGTGTGCGGGTGTGCGGGTGTGCGGGTGTGCGG